AGCAGCAGCTAGGCAGAGCGGGCAGCCATGGACCTTAGCCTTGGGGAAGATGAAGCCCTTAAAAATGCTGCCCCCTCCTGGGCCGGGCAAGCTGGTGGGGTTGGAAAGGACCTGCCTGTCTCACCCAAGCCATTGATGTAGCATGCTTCCTTGACCCTGACCCTGTTCAGTCTTCACAAGAGTCAGGGATGGTCTGCTCTGCTCTGTCCCCAAGTACCCCGTCAGACATCCCAATAGGTAGAATCACCCAGTTTATGTGGTGGCTAGATGGCATCAGGATACAAGGCCACGGGACGGTGGGGACGCTGATGGCTGCTGGGGCAATGGCTTAGATGTTTCCTGTGCCCCCATTTATGCTACCAAGGGAAGAGTGGCAAGGTGATTTCCTGTTCCTCCTCATGTTGGGTTGTGAGTCCACCTGTGCGGACCAGCATGACATGATGGTGACTCTGTGACCTGCCACCAAGCACTGCTGTAAAGGGCTGGTGTCGTCGGGTAAGCCTGTTCAGCAGTCATGCTTTGGGAGATGCTTCCCAGGGTTCCCTTATCACCCTAAGGTTTATTCAGGGGTCTCAAGATCCAGAAAGCACTAAAACAGTCACACACACACACACACACACACACACACACACACACACACACACACACACCATGCTTGGAAACAGCCTTCCTTCTGACTGAGCAGAACACAGGGACAACAGGACAGGCCATACTGTTGCTGTCCCCAGGATACTGGGCACCAGAGTGAGGGCCGCCCTGTTCCACTGCGGTCTGTCCTTGGCAGGACAATGGCTTCCCAGATCTGTCTCCTGGGGGCCAAGACATGGGAAACAGCGGCATGGGGACCAGAGGCTGAGAAGCAGCGGCCATTTGTATGTCAATGCTCATCCTTGTCTTGGCCTCATTAATTCAGCCAGACCTACTGCCCTTTAGGTTGGGACTAAAGCAGCCAAGGGCAATTCACCTGGCAATTCACCTGGTCCCTAAAGCCGTCAGAAAAGTCCAGGCCCATAGGGAGACCCTGACCCAGGTCAACCACTGCCCCCATGTGGCCAACAGGCCCACAAAGCCAAAACCACAACCCTTGACCTCCATGCACTCAGTCAGGAAACAGCCTCCGTCTATTGTAAGTATCTAGCCATTGCAGGGAATGGACCCAGCAGTGGCTAATGCAGAAACCCTGAGCAGTGGATTGGAGCAAGACCTGGATTGGGGGTAGCCGGGGCTCTGACCTCCACAGACTTCTCTTATATTTTTTTGGTTGTGAGCCTAGCCTTTAACGGCTGAGCCATCTCTCCAGCCCCCACAGACTTCTCTGATGAGCCAGCCTGAAAACTGCCTGGGGGTCAGCAACCAGCCAGGACCACTATCCTGACAATGACAAGTCTCCCCTCCAGACCCAGAACCCACTGCCCACAGGTTGAGACCCCAGCTATTCAGGGGGCAAGTGTGGGGGCCCCGCACCAGGCTCAGAGGAGCACTCCTCAGGCAGACTGAGGACTCAGGTCTTCCTAATGCCCCCCAGGGTGGGTTTCCCTACCATCTGGTCTTGCAGAACAGCTAAGGGTAAGACTTGTACATGAGTCCTGACAACAACCCTCTCCCTGGACTCCTCAGCTCATGCTGTCCAGGTAACCATGCTCCAGTCGGGTGACTTTATTTCTAAAAAAGGTAAGGCTCTTTTCAGCCATGTGGTGAGGCAGCCAGCTGGCCAGTGAGGGAGAGGCAATGTGGGTCTGCCCAGCCAGGGCCGGAAGGTGAGGGCTCCCCAGGTGCTCCATCCTGGAGGTAGCTAGGGGAGGAAAGCCCCAGAGCAGCACACTAGACACCCCACCCTCCAGCCACAGGCCCCGAGTTCCATGTGAGTTCCCCTCCGTGCTGGGATCTGTGGCTGGCACTGGAAGGGAGAGAGTCCAGGAAAGCTGGAAGGGCGGTGATGGCGGCCTAGAAACCTTTGTCTATGCTCAAGGTGCGGCGTGTGACGTGCTCCAGCTCCCCCGACACGTAGTCTGCCATGCTGATGCGGTAGTGTGCCAGCATCTTCAACATCAGCCGTAGATTCAGCCACCACTGTTCCCGTGGCATGCGGTGCCTGAGTAGATCAAGGCTGGGTAGTTACAGAGGCCGAATCCCGCAGTCCTTTAAACCCCGAATACCTAGCTGTTATTGGGACCCGGTTGATATATGGAGCACATCTGGGCGCCCCATTCCTTTGGCTGCTGCTGAGGTGGAGTCAGGTGCAAGAGCAGCAGGTTAATCAGCCCGCTCATTACAAATCTCCCCAGACTGCCCTGTGTTGGCCTTAGAACACCCAGACAAGACCCCTGCTCTTTAAAGCCTGATGAGGACCCTGTCCAGGGACATTCTGGGCCTCCCAGGGTCCTCCCATCTCCATGCAGCCCCAAAAGGACTTACTCAAAATCGGTATCTTTCTTGAGTTCCATGACTGGACTGAAGGCCACCACCTTCTTCCGCAGGCCGATCACACAGGCGGAGTCGGGAGCATTGGCGAACACCCGCCCTATGGAGACGGACACGTGCTGGGCAAGGCCAGGCCCCAGAGACCTTCAGAGGGCCAGATTGGGCCAGCTCACCCCACCTACCTTTGCGATAGACATCGCGCAGCTTCTCTGACATCCACAGCATGGCCTTCACCCCCAGTTTGGTCCCATAGTTCCGGTCGAAGGGGGTTGGAGCCCCTCCCTGGATGGAAACACAGGCGAGACCTCATCCATGGAGCTCACCAAGCCCCAAAGGAGACTAGACACAGGGGTCCTAAGCCAGCACATGAGCCAGGACTGCCTCCTGTGTCCTTGCAGAAAGCATGGCCACTTCGCCACTCCTGACCTCTTGTCATCCCAGCCTCTTCCTATAAGCTGGAGGGCCTCAAAGCGCAGCCTAGAACCATTCCAGAGGTCAGGAATGGCCCCTGTGCCTCAGGATCCATCGGCAGTAGCCCCACCCCAGGCCTCCTGAAAGCCACCATGAGGCAATAGGGTTTAGTTAGTAGGTGAGGGACTAGGCAGAGAGGACATAGCCACAGGATGACAAGGGCTTGGGCTGCCTCCCAGAAAATGAGGGCTCAGTCCAGGGCCCAAGTGCCAGGTTTGGGTCTCAGCCCCGCGGTCTTCTCTCCGTGAAGGTGTGATGGGAACATTCACCACCTGAGTGCTGGAGAATTAAACAGCTTGGCAAGCACCTTCTCGGGGCATGCACAAAGGAGAGACTCTCCCTCAAGGGTCCTCCCGGGGAAGAAAATGGGGATGGAGATGGGCAAGTGAGTACTGTTGGGGCCGGGGAACCACCCTCAGAATAGTACCTGCTGCAGGTGGCCCAGCACATTGGTCCTGCAGTCGAACACACCCTTGCCTTCCGAGGAGTACAGATTGTACAGGAACTCCGTGGTGTAATGCTCATGGCATTTCTCGTTTCTGTGGAGAGACACAAGGCGGTCGAGGCTGCCCCAAGTCTGGGCCCCCCAGGCCAGGCACAGGTAGAGTGGGACAGGAGAGGAGGGGGGCCGCTCCCAGGCCCTGTGCCTTCCCCCTCCCTGCCCAGCACCCGCAGCAGCCTCACCGGAGCACCAGGCCCCTCTGGATGTCGGTCTTCATCTTCTCGGTCATATGCTCCACATTGGCCTGGGAAGAAGAGGAGGTGCGTTAAGAGGTGAGAGAGAAAGCAGGGCAGCTGGGACCCAGCAGCCTCAGTAGGGAGGCGGGGCAAGGATGCTAAGACACCACACGACTTGAAGAAGGAGACTTGCTGTCCCTCAGGAAGCGACTCCCATCCTGAGCCTTCTGCTTCTGTGTGTCTCAGGAGGGGCCTGTCAGATTCACAGGCAGCTGGAGAGCTCAAGATGGAGGCCGGGCTCACCTTTAAGTCGTGGATGTTGAAAGGGTCCTCAAAGACGTAGGCGGCATCGGCACCCACGGCAATGCCTGTCACAGTGGCTAGGTACCCGCAGTAGCCCCCCATGGTCTCCACGATGAACACACGACGTTTCGTCCCCGAGGCTGACTGCTTGATGCGGTCACAGCTCTGGAGGGATCAAGGGGGCAGTCAGAGCCCAGCATGGCAGCTCACTACTATAATCCCAGTAGTCGGGAGGTTTAGGTAGAACTATTGCAAGTTCAAGGCCAGCCTGAGCTAGATAGTGAGTTCTAATCTAGCCTAGGCTACAGAATGAGACCCTTTCGCAAAAATAAATGGGCGGGGAGGACAGTTAGAATCCTCTATGTCCATTCCTCTCACCACCCGTGGACCATGGGGACACTGTTACACAGGATCACAAGGCCGCAACAATTGTACCCAGAACCAAGGGCTCCCACAATACCCGTGACCGCTGGGGAGGGACAGAGCCTGGGCCACCTCCACTGGGTGTGTGCACAGATCCAGGGGCTCACAGTTAGGGGTGCCTGCCCCCTGGAGGTACAGACCGATCATCCCATCGGCAGGACCTAGGAGACCCACGAAGCCACCCACACGTGGGCTGCCGGCCCTCCCCAGGACACCTCACCTCCATTGCCGCATTGACGGCGGTGTCTGAGCCCAGGCTGAAGTCAGTGCCGGGCACATTGTTGCTGATGGTGGCCGGGATAACACACATGACAATGCAGAGCTCCTCATAACGGCCCCGTGCCTCCACCAGCTGCAGCACACCCTCGTAGGCCTGTGGGCCAGAAAGGGAAGGGAGCCAGGAGGGGGTGGGATGAGGCAAGGTTCCACCAGGGCTAGGGAGCCATGGTGCCCTGCCCCTGAAGATGGCGGCGTCTGATACTGGGTTGGCACAATCTGCTCTCACCCTAGAGCTGTCTAAGGACACTAGTCCTTCCAGAAAATCAGGATCCTAATGAGGACTGGGGGGGCTCCAGCTGAGCTCCTAAGTTCGGAGCCACCCAAATGTTCATGTTTATCATTTGGCAAGGACTCACCAAGCACCAGGGCATGGTGTCTGTGCGCCTTGCAGACCTCGTTACTCCTCTGCCCTCTACCTCCTTTTTGAGGCCCTCTGTTCCCTTCCTCCCTTTTGATTTCCTAACACCAGGCTAGCTGTACTCTAAGATACTCAGAGGGTTAAAAACCCCAGCCCAACCCCACACTTGACAGCTCTGACCCTTTGGCTGCCCCAGCCCAAGGTCCGTGTTTGAGGCCATACTTCCGGCCCCGGGGTACAGCAGCACCCACAGTGACCCAAGAGGAGAAGCCTCACCTCAAAGCCACCGATAACCAACAGGGCGTGAATGTTGTAGGTGCGGAGGTTCTCCACGATGGCCTCCAGGTGGAGCTTGGGCAGCGTCCTGTGGTTGGAGATAGATCAGCCTGGAGAGGGGGCATGCAGCTCACAAGAGTACATCTCACCTCAGAAATAGGTGACTTGGCCTTTCCCAAAGCCAGAGATCAGTCACCAAAGGGACCCTCAGGGAGGCTCCGTGTGGGATAGAGATATGGGGGCCAGCATGTGAGAAGCCTGGGTGCTTACTCAACAACCTCACTGGGCATTGGCTAGCAATGGCCAAACCTCTGCCTGACAGCCTGCCACTCTGGGTGTCCCTTCTGGCTGAGGTGGTAACAGGAAAGGACACTTTCTCCAGCTTTTGCAGCTCCACAGACTTGGA